CAACAGTCCTGCAAGGCCCCGTGATGCAGCACTACCTGACCCCTTCCTCTGCTGCAGGAGGAAGTATGTGTTGGCCACCTCTGTGTCCCTGAAATCACATATAAATATTATAAATTAAAATAGATACAGTAGGGTCGGGATATGTCACGAGATAGGGTCCAAGGATGTTCGCTATATACTAAATCGCGATATATAATTCCATGTAATCAATGGGGAAAATAGGGTTAGGTTCTGGAGGCCACTAAAAGTGACTAAACTTGACATAAAATGGCACAGTCTAAAGTTAGTTGAATATAAATTGCATTGCTGGAATCCTTGCAAGACAGCAAATAATTTGAATATAGTATATGCATTATATATTTTGCACAAGAGATAAAATTTTAGTCCTTCAACTAAAAGGTACAGTATTAATTAGTACTAAAATGTTTATGTCTGTTGTAAACTATAACATGTTTATATTTAAATTAATCACTATCTCACAAGAATTCCAGCAATGTTAATTATATTCTCTTAAGTTAATTCATTGACATTTTATAAGAGAAAAACACAAACTCCCCCTATATGACAGATAAATAAATCCCACTAAGTAACCATTGCCTGGCTCCTGCCCAGCTGTCGTATAATTCAACTCTTCTCTCCAGTTCTGGCAAGAGTGAAAGTGGTCTTAGGCTTAAAGGGTTTATCTTATAAAATGTCACAGACTAAAGTTAGCAGAAAATAAATTTCATTGCTGGAATCCTTGCAAGACAGTGAATAATTTGAATATAGACATAATATATTTTTCACAGGAGATAAAAATATTTAAACTTATATTTTTGGGGCTATTTAGGGACTGTTTGTGAGTGTTTCTGACTTTATACAGTTTTTGGCTTCATGTGAGGTCGCAGGAACATAACCCCACGTAAGTTGTGAGTCTACTGTAAATAAATTTATCACAATACAGTGGTCCCTCGGTTAACGAACGGTTCGATTAAAAAAATTTCGGTTAACGAATTACCTCCCATAAGGATCTTGAATTTGGTTAACGAACAAAACTTCGATTAACGAAATCCTTACGACAAACACGTTTTCTTGTGAGCATCAGCTGATGGGCTAGTCTGCCAATTCAGTAATCTGTTCTATGTTTACATTCGTTTCCAGTGGAGTAAATATCAAGAAAGTTGTGATCTTTAATATTTTTGCATTTTTTATATTAAAATTATTAGTCATTTTAAAATGTAGTTAACATATTGATAACATATGCAGTACAGGGAACTAGTTTTTTGTGCACCCATCAGCCGCTTGACTCACCCACCAAAGTGTCTGTTTAACTTTGTTGACAGTGGAGTGAACATCGATTTTGTTGGTGTCTTGAATATTTTTGCATTTTTACATTCAAATTATTGGTCATTCTGAAATTTAGTTAACAATTGATAATATATAGCGCAGTGCCGTGTTGATTTAAATAAAATAATCTTGAATTACACCTAGTGAACATAAAATTTTATTGGTGAAATTACTGCATCAAGCATGGGTCCCCTGAAAGGTGATTTCTCATCCATCCCCACTTCCTTCTCTTCTCCCTTCTCCTCCACCCCCACTTCTAATTCCCATCATCATCATCAACCAGGAACCTTCTACATACACACCTCAAAGTAAGTGTACTTTACTGCATTTATTTCTTTTTACTTTGTATGTACTTTTAGCTGTCCATCATCAATATCCATTGAAACATGATTCGTTAATCTAACAACTCTAGGAACAAATTGTGTTCCGGCGAGCTTTGTACCACTGTACCGTACAGACAGCAATTTCGATAATTTTGCACCGTGAGTGATAAGTTTGAAATATTTCCTGCCCGGGGATTTCGCGGAAATAAAAAAATTATCGCTATACAGAAGAAGTCCAAAAATCCGGACTGCTTGGGGATTGGGTCGGTCCGGATTTTCGGATTTTCCGGATTCTCAGGCAGTACTTTTAAAATTCAAATTTAAGGAGGAATAAAGAAGAGATGAACAGGTACATTTTGAGAGTTTATTCATAAGCAAGTAAAGCATGCTTCATTTATCAAAACGAGCAGTTTTAAAGAAAAATAAAGTCAACACTTGACAAAAATGTAAACAAACTGTCTAATACCATGACGAGTCTTAAAATTCCTAAGCCATCCATCACTAAATGCTCACTCTGATTCAATGTTTATTTGCTCCTTAAAAGACTTTGCTTTGGCAATAAGCATCAGCCCATAAATTGCCATACCTTCTGATCGTTTTAACAAAAACCATTTGTGCAACACTTTATCAAGATTTTCTAATTTGGGCCAACGTAAACTTTTTCTTTCAGCAATTTTATTATAAGGGTCAGAAGAAGCTGTGAATTCTAGAATTTTATTCTTTGCCTTTTTTATATCATAATTTGTAGACTTTCCAATGTCGTATGTTTCCATTAGATCAGTATTGCTCACACCACGTTCTAGTTTCTTAATTATTTCAAGTTTGTCACTCAATTTCAATGTGTTCTTCTTTCTCTTCACACAACGAAGTTTATCTACTTTAGGAGCCATTATTATGGGCTTGTACTCTGTAAATGGAAAGAGTAGGACTCAAAATTACATACGTTGTCACAGTTTGATTGCTTGTTTTAAAGTGGCGATTGCGTGGTCGCTTGTTGTCGCTGTGTAGCTGTGGCGTTCAGGCATGCACACATACACACAAAAGATTTATAGTGCCACAAATTTTACATTTGAGGACAAGCTAATTACAAAACTAACAAAATTAGCTACCTATAATTTACAATTACTTTTATTATTAGAATTATGTAAATTAATTTTTTTAAAGGAACGCCATTCATTCACGTAACCCACAAAAGCCCGCTAAATTTAAAAAGTTTTATAGTTTTCCAAAAGTCCAGATTCTCGGGTGGTCCGGATTTCTGGCATCCGGATTTTTGGACTTTTACTGTTTTTGAGATATGTTTTCCTTAAGAGTCTCATTCTTCCAGTACCATATGATGATGTAAGTTGCTGTACAATATTTCAATTGTGGTAGTTTATTGTCATGAATAAAAATATTTAAATAAATGAAATTTACCTTCACCACACCCCAACTCCTATGAACCTAAAGTATTCTATTACAAGCACCATCAGATACTTAGCTCAGATTCTTAACAGGAAAGGGTTATGAAACCTTATTTTCTTGAATATGACGAGAATCTATCAATGTTGGATTTCCTTGCTACGCCGGTACAGTATTAGCAATACTGTACACTTACGCCAAGCAGCTGAGTTGTCCTATCAACTCAAGCAAACCAATAATCATGATGCATCATGAATTGATACGGTACATTACAAACATTCTTGGTCACTGTCTTGTGAAAAATCACAACTCTACTGCATCTCCTTTACTTTAAATGTGATAAGGAAGGAACAAATAAATCATGGTGTGGTTAAAACTATGTGAACCAGTCTCAGATTACATTATATTACTGTAATTGGGAAATGACAGCCAATTTTGGTGCTTCTAAAGTAATAAATACAGTACTCCTTATTTTATACTGTAATTATACATAGATGTTAATGAGTTGAATTATACAGTACAGTATCTTGTTGTGTCTCTGTATGATCCAAAAATTTATGTTCAAGAACAGTAATGATTTTTTTCTGCTACTCTACAGGACAAATGGGGAAGAACACAGTAAACAATCGAAAGAAAAAGTTAGCAAAATTACGCAAAAAGTCTGCTGCGACCCTTAATGTAGCATCACTGACAACAGATGAACTTTTAACCCGTGCTCAGGAACAAATAGATTGTTTCCATTATGAAAGAGCTCAGTACTTATGTCAAGAAGCCTTAAAACGAGATCCAGATAATGTATCAGCACTGGAGACATCATCAAGTTTATGTCTTGAAGTTGGAAACCTAGATGGAGCTAAACATTGCTTGGGACGAGCTATCACATTAAAATCAGAAGAAGGTTATGCAAAGTACATGTCCATGGCCCAGTTACTGGAAGGCAAAGAATCTCTCCAGTGCTATCAAAAGGGCATTGAAATTCTAACTAAAGTTATAACTGGGCTTCAACACTCAGTTAAAGAAAACAAAGCAAAATGCTCTGAGAATAATTCTAATGATATATCAGCTACAAAACCAGAAATGGCAGCAGATGAAAATGAATCTAAAGATGATAGTAAAGAGACAATTATTGGAGCTACAAAGACTGAAAATGACCCACTCCCCTCAAGTTCCTTGGTAGAACCTGAAGGCAATATGGCAGACCTTGTTCGGCAACTTTCTACTGCAAATTGCTCTGTGGCAGAACTATTTATGACAGATTTATGTGATGAAGAAGGTGCAGAGGAACAGTGTCGTTCTAGTATAACCAATGCCATTCAAGCTGATTCCAACAATCCAGAGGCATATCAGCTTATGGTAAGTAGCACAATATTTTTTTTTCATAAATCTCTGAATTAATATAAAATTAGAAAAGTTACTACCATACTGTATTACACATTATTTTAATGTCATACTTGTTTATATCCTCTCCACCACCATATTTGCATCCTGTAAAAGGAACAAGTCTATAATATCCCTATTAATATGTAATAAGGATTACAGTATCAACCCCTTTCTTATTATTATGTTTTTGTATATCAATTAAGACTACTAAAATAAGCTTATCAGTCGTCATTTAGAATAAATATATATTTTTTTAAGTCAGCATGGTTTTAGGATATGGAAGCTATTGATTAAGATTTACAAATCAGCCATGGCAATTGTGTTATCTATACAATGTTTTAACATTACTAAGGGCATATCTGTCTGCACGGACTATGTTAGCCCTTGAATAATCACACATTAGATTATCTGCTTTTGCTTCCCCTCTGTCACATCACTGCAGCTGATAGTTGTTGGCAGTCATAGAATTTTTTTTATTTTGTATATACAGTCAACCCTCACTTTACGCGGTTAATGTAACCCACAGGGTACCGCGGAAAGTGAGAAACGCGTAAAGTGAATAACATAACATATGGGATTAAATGAAATAGAGGCCAGCTGACCCCCAAACTCCACTTTTTCCAACACAATACCTATGTTCTAGTAAAAATAACATCTTAATTTTATGATGGTACATGCACACAATTAATACTTAAGAGAAATGGAGAAATAAAGTCGCCAAGTTAATGTCTATTCAAATAATGGACACGACTCCCTCCCCCTCTTCTCACACTACACTGCTGGCTCTTCCCTCTGAGAAATTTTTGGGGGAAAACCAGGTATAGTAATAAATAATACCTCAAACTAAAGTTAGGATAATATAATTGACATTGCTGGATTCCTTGTAAGACCAGGAATATTTTGAATATAAATGTCATATATTTTTCACAAAAGATAACATATTTACTCAGATTAAACATTTTATCTAAAATTTGTATGTCTAATGCAAAATATATGATGTTTATATTCAAAATGATCACCAAATTGTAAGAATTCCAGCAATGTAAATTATATTCTTGCCGGGTAATTTGTATGAATTTTATGAGCTAAACAAATTTCTTCAAGTTGAATAAAAATATTCTTTCACGATAATATTCTGTCAACTCAAAGCACTCACCTCGGCCTCCCCTTCCAACCGCGCGGGTTGTCCAACCTCCTCCCATTCCCACCAACCCTCCCTTCAAGAGAAAGAGTGGGTGAAAAAACTAGATTTTAACATTTAGTATTAAATAATACCTCAGATTAAAGTTAGGATAATATAATTGACATTGCTGGATTCCTTGTAAGACCAGGAATATTTTGAATATAAATGTCATATATTTTGCACAAAAGATAACATATTTACTCAGAGTGAACATTATATCTAAAAATTTTATGTCTAATGCAAAATATATGATGTTTATATTCAAAATGATCATCAAATTGTAAGAATTCCATCAATGTAAATTATATTCTGGCCGGGTAATTTGTATGAATTTTATGAGCTAAAATAAAAATCTTCAGTTAATAAAAAAAAAAATATTCTTCACATGGTAACAGATGGTCGGTCGCCGGTCCCTCCCACCCCCCCACCAACAGTTCCTACTAGATAAATGTGTGGGAATACCAGACTGTTTACCTTTTTAGTAATAAATAATAAATCAGACTAAAGTTAGGATAATATAATTGACATTGCTGGATTCCTTGTAAGACCAGGAATATTTTGAATATAAATGTCATATATTTTGCACAAAAGATAACATATTTACTCAAGAGTAAACATTATATCTAAAATTTGTATGTCTAATGCAAAATCTATGATGTTTATATTCAAAATGATCATCAAATTGTAAAAATTCCAGCAATGTAAATTATATTCTGGACGGATAATTTGTATGAATTTTATGAGCTAAATTATAAAAATTACAAAGTACACCACCTCGATCAGAGTTATCCTTAAGTCTGGCAGGGCACCGGCAGAACGGAAACGAAATGGACCGGGTGAAGTGAGGGCTGAATTTATATAAGGCGAGCAGCAAGGCAGGCGGTGCAGGCGGCAGCATATATGCGCGGCGGCGGTGCGCGGCCAGCATGCGCGGCGGGAGGCAGGAGAGATATATATATATATATATATATATATATATATATATATATATATATATATATATTGATGTTAAATCACACTCCTGAAAAGGACGCTGCAAATAACTTAGCTTTGCCCTTTATCTCAAGACATCTTCAGAGTAAATTGAACAAGATGGATGAGAGAGAGGCTAAATGGCTGTAAGGTGACCCAAAAACATGAGGTCAGGGTCATAATGATGTCATCCACTAATCCCCACACCAACACACACAGAGAGCTTTAAGAGAAGAGAGGGAAGCGACGTAGACCATTTCAGCCCAACAAGGACCCACTAAATAACTATCATACATCTAGATCAAAGGTTTTCAAAGCATTTTTAACCTTGGGCCACTGACAAATAAATTTATATAACATATTATCAGTTTTGAACTGACCATCACTAAGGTTTATTGATTTTAATTCCTTAATCAAACTAGCTTCAACCAGAAGTCTTTCTGTGACACAAGATGATTTAAATACTTCTAAGCTTTTTTCCCAAGCAATGGGGTGATTATTATTCCTAACATGAACGAACAAGGCACTGCTTTCAGATGCTGTTCTGATATTATACTTATGTTGTTTGATTCTGAGCTGCAGTGTTTTTCCTGTCTGTCCTACATAATTACAATTACATTTGCTACATGGAATACAATAAACACTTCCATTTACATTCAAAATTGGGCTATTCCTTATTAACATATTGGTAATGGTTGAGTCATACTTGAAAACAACTAACAGCTCTCTCAAATCAATCCCACTTTACCTTATATGTATGGATTGATCAAAACACACAAGCTTAACAATCCTTTACGTCCTATCGTGAGTTCTGTGGGTTCTGTTACTTACAAATTATCCAAGTGGCTGGTAAAGATGCTATCCCCTCTTACAGGCCAAATATCTAACTCACATATACACAATAGCAGTGATTTAATTGATAAACTTAAGAAACACAATGAACCTTGCGAATTAATAAGTTTTGATGTAAATTCACTGTTCACTAGAGTACCTGTGAAAGACCTACTTTCATTTCTTAAAGATAAATTACAACTGTTAGATTTAACTATTGAACATGATACTTTCCTGAAATTGATAGAGTTATGCGTAACTGACAATGTGTTTAGAGCAAATGGGAAGTTCTACAAGCAAATATTTGGCATGAGCATGGGTAATTGTCTTTCTGCTCCTCTAGCCTGTATTTATATGGAGTTTTTTGAGTCTAGATTACTACCCAATATAGTGGACTTTATTCCTCCATGGTATAGATATGTAGATGATGTTCTTTGTCTTTGGCCTAGATACAGTGACCCATTGGAATTTTTAGACAAGCTTAATGATATTGTCCCAAGTATCACATTCAAAATTGAAAGAGAAATAAATGGATCCCTTCCATTCCTTGATATGCTTATCATGAGAAATGGCCAAAACTATAAATTTAAGGTATATAGAAAGCCCACACAGGTAGACAGTTTCATTCACTTTTTATCCAATCACCTTGAGTCTACCAAAATGTCAGTTTTTTTCTGCTATGTTCTTAAGATGTCTGCGTATTTGTGACTCTGAATTTATTGACGATGAATTGAAACACATTCGTTCCATTGCACAGAAACTCGGGTACCCTTCTGTGTTTGTTGATCGTTGTTTTAAAAGGGCTAAAAATCCTTTCATTCCTCTCAAACCAGACAAATTCCTACACTTAAGAATATTTTGACTGCCCTATCGTAATGAATTTGTCCCGTTAGTTCGGTCCCTCAAGCTACTAAATATTAATGTTGTTTTCAAGTATGACTCAACCATTACCAATATGTTAATAAGAAATAGCCCAAGTTTGAATGTAAATGGAAGTGTTTATTGTATTCCATGTAGCAAATGTAATTGTAATTATGTAGGACAGACAGGAAAAACACT